CTGCTGAACTGACACCCCCTTGCTGAACAGTGGGCCAGTTCAGCCCTAGTAGCCTTGTGTCAATGCCTCTTTTAAAAATGGTACTGACTTGAATGTTCTTTTACTTCAGTTTTATTCTAACCTGAAAAGTAAATAAGACAATGATCTTTCTATATTTTCTCCCTTGTTTTTCGATTCATCATTAGTGGTGTAGGGTTACTTTTTCTTCTATGTGTTATTGTAGGATGATTAGTGTCATGATCTGACTCAGGAGCTTGGAATAACAAGATAGGAAGGACAGCCGGACAAAGAAAATATTTTAAAACAATTTTTTCTTAAATAAAATCATTCAAAATATAAAATAGCCATTCTATTTCACAACTTTAATTTACAAACATTTGTTCAACTTTAAACTTGTATAATTGAAAAAAAAATTGAAACATTTTCCGTCTTCGTGGGCTTCTCGATGTGCGTATGTAGGAATGTAAATAAGCCGAGCTCGTGCGAGCTAAGGCTTGGCTCGTGTTCGGCTTGTGCGAAATTGACTCGTGTTTGAAATTGCTCGTGAATAATATGTTTATGTTTAGCTCGAATTACATATTTTTACTCATGTCGGCCCGTGTTCAACTCGAAATTTGCTCATATAAATTAATTAAAAAATAGATGTTGGTGTTGGATTCGAACCTGCACTTCTGTGCAGTAGAAGACGCATAACTAAATGATCACATAAACTTTTATGATTTAAACTTATATATATATATATATAAAATTTATTTCAAGCTAAAACGAGTCGAACACGATCGAAGAAAAGGTTGTTCTTGTTCGGCTCGTTTACTTAACGAACGATTCGAACACGAGCTACTTAACAAGCCGAACACAAGTTGTTCGCGAACAATGAGCTCTTTTTACAGCCCTATCTTTATACAGGATCTTTAAGATTCATCTATTCTAAAAAAAGTTTTCCGGAAAAATGTTAGTAATTAAATGTATGTGTTAAATGATTCGGTGAGTAAAATATTTCTAAATTACAACAATTCATATTTTTAAAATACATTTTTTTAATTACAAGACAACAAGCAATAAAAAGAGACAACAAGTAAATCAATTTTATTGCTACTTATTTCATTTAAAATATTAGTCTATAGGAGTCATCATTTAAATGTGTACTCAATTACACGTTTCATAATTTTTTTTCAAAACACTTCAGAATTGTTGGCAATCATTTTTGTTTTCATTTTACATGCACCGTTACATATTTTACCAATCCATCCTATACATAAAGTGACTTCACATATGCATTCGTCATATCATATTTTATTTCGTTCTTTTACTTAATATTTGCTTTAATTAATGATATGAAAGATTTCGATGGTATAAATGTAAAAATTAAAGTATAGGTATATATCTATGTCTAATTTAACATTCCAAAGGCAGGGTTAAAAATCATGATCTTTCTTCTATAAATACAACGGAATTTTGTAACGAAACTCTTCTAGCTTGTGGAAGCGATTTCGATTGCGGTGGTTCATCAGCTGTGCAATTATGGGATATTGAATCTCCACAATCCCTTCAGTGCTTCACCGCGAATGATTCTGTAAGTTATTTTCACTTTGATCTGCTAAAGTATATAGGCCAAAAGACAAACTAATATTTGATCCACAGTTTATTACTTCTCTCAAAGTAAATCCACAAGGCAGCACCATAATCACAGGTATGGCTTGGCACATTTACATTCATATCACCCGATTCTTATGTATTTACATATCTAACACCTAAACTTCAATTTTACACGTATGCCAGTTTACCAATGCATGACAGTGTTTATTTTACATTTTCAAAGTTAAAAGAATGATATTTTGATGTGGTATGAAAAATTTTGAAGTACAGGTGTTAGATATGTAAATACGTAAGAATTGAGTGGTATGCATGTGTGTGTGTGTGTGTGTGTGTGGATTGTCATTATTTATGCAACCATATGCTAACAATGATGGGGTTTTTATGCACGAGTATGATAGGTGCTGTTAATGGAACTGTTGGTTTATTGGACATCCGGACTTGTAATGCAATTAATTATCTTTCAGTTGGATCGAGTTACGAGGTCACTATAAGTAGATTTAGTTTTAATCATCATTATATGTGGAATTTTTTCAAATATTATTTTTTTCTGGAAAAATAACCTATATTTTTCCCCTGATTTTTAGGTTACATCCGTTTCATTTAGCAGCTGTGGAAAATACTTTAGTGCCTCAAGCACATCAAATAATACACTTGTATGGGATACACGGCTCGTGCCAACAAGTGTACGAGACACTTTTTCGGGGAACGGTTTTTCAGCTAGGGATCTGCGATTGATCCGACCACTACATTGTTTGAGCCATGGGAAGCAAATGCCTACGGCTGAGCATACCGGTCAACTTCCAGGGTGAGTTCTCGTCTGGAACATTTTATTTGGTTTTTGTATTGTTGAGCTTTTAAGTCAATAGGAGGTTGTATATCTAGTTATTTTTTTTAGGGTCAAAATGATCATCTGATTCTTTGCAGAGGGGGAATTATATTTTATTTTTTTGAGGGACGCTAGAGTGTTTCGTTAAGCAAATGAATCGTAAGCTCCCGATCGGGCAGTATGATGTGGGAATGAGATTTCTCATCCTGTGAGCATTGGTAGCGGGAATTCTCCCGTCTACTGAGGACAATCACCCCTTGTGGACCCTATTTAATATTTAATATATTTTGATTACTAATCCCGATTTAATTTTTGTTTTACTATAATATGTTATTTCTTGATTTTGAGACTTTTGCTTTATGTATTTAGAGATTGTGATCTCTATTTTTTTTGTCCTAAGGAGTGTTTTATCATTTTTCTTTTTCGAGAGGTGTGTCTGTAGCTTATTCAAGAATAGGCGGTGGACCTTCCTCATCAGTTGTGCATTTTCAAATCCGTCGCTTCTTTGTTCTCCCTGCTGTTTTCAGCCTGGACAGCCGTCAAATATCCTTTACTTCCTTAAAACTCCATTGACCTTGCATATTCTCTCTCCCTCACCATTTCACAGCTTCCTTCTTGTTAAATCCGATTCTTAAACACCTTTGAGGAACCCTAGTCATATGTAAGTTTGGTTGGGCCCCTATTTTTGCAATGGTGCAAGATGAATATTTCATTTCGACTATAATTACAACTTGTTTGGTTGCTTTACCTTCATGGGATTGGCGGTATGGAGCTAATGTGCTTTCTATTACTCCATATGCGTTGTCCTTGACCTGCAAGGAAATTGTGTTAGCTGCTCTGCCCTTCTATATTTCTCTGCGGTCAACAAACAGTTTGCCGGCGACAGTTTTTCCATTGAAAGAGAAATGTCACTATAAATGTCAACCTTTTTCTTTCTTTTTCGCCTTTTTCTAGCCATGTCGATGAGGGCTATCAGGGCGTAAATGATGCTCGATGGCTTCAAAGGGAGTCGGTTTTGATCACTGCCAGTGGGGATGGAAGGTGAGTTGATCCTTATTTTTTTACTCTCTGGGTATTTACATATATTCCACCCAATTCTTATATTTTTAAATTTCTAAGGCATCACTTTACTTTTTTCATTTATACCTCCAAGATCTTTCATATCACATAAAAAATACTACTACTTTAGCTTAAAAAAAAAAAGTGAAATACAACTTTTCATACATAAATAAGATGGCATAATTTAAAAACTTTTGGTTTTAGATATGTAAATACATAAGAGTTGTGTGGTATGTATGTAAATTTTCCTTTTTTTTTCCTCACATTCTGCTTTTTGGTACAAGCTAATAAAATTATTGCAAAATATCCAGCGTTGCAATGTGGGATGTTAATCTTGGTAAACCATGCGTCAGACATTTGGCCAGCCATTCTAGATGTGTTAATACTGTAAGTCCATCTTCCACGAATATCTCAGTCTGTTATCTCAACGGTTCATGAAATTCTGTGAATCTCGAGGCATTTTTTTGATTTCAAAGGCTTTTTGTGCTGTAATACAGATTGCCGTTGCACCTAATGATGATTATATCTGCAGTGGGGGAGATGATCAAAAAGTTGTGAGTTACATCTCCCTGATTTCAGTTCCTTAATTTGCTATATGAAAACCTAACTCTAAAATTGAATCTGTCCTTTTGGTTTGATTTCTGTTGAAGGGGAAAGGCTTTTTGTTGTCTATTTTATTCACTAAAGAGGACCTTTATTGAATGAGTTCAACCTTTACACCATACACCAAATCCTTTCTCAAGCTAGAGTATATATATATTAGTTAGCTCCAAATTGTTATATAATCGAGATAAGCTTAGAGGACTCGGGGCTTTTGCAAAAATATCCGCTATTTTTTTGTGTTGGAGAGATGGGGGATGTTAATGTTCTTAGAAAGTAAAACATATTAAATGAAATGACAAATAGCTTTAATATGTTTGGTTTTTTTTTTTTCCTAAAACTTGTAGCTACCAGCAATGTATATTGTAACACAATTTTCATACAATCATGAATTGAGAGGTTGTTTGGGATCACTTATAATCTTTATTTTTTATTGTTTGTTTTTGTTTTATTTTATTTATTTTTTTATTTAAAATGAAATATGTTTGGTATGTTATAACATGATTTGTTATTTTTAAAGCCATTAAAAATAACTTCTACGTGTTTTGAGCATTTTTAATAACAAATTAGTTAATTTTTTAAAATAACAAAAGAAAAAATTCATGCTAAAAATGAATTAAACAAACATGGTTTTTAAGTAAAAGCGAAAAAAAAAAAAAAATAAAAGTGATCCCAAACAAGCCTTAAGGAACTAGAAAATAAAACTTCTTTTAAGACTTCACTAACATCATTTCAATCGGAGAAGAGGTCATAGCTTAGTGTGCATCCTTAGCACTAGATCTAACCATAACATTTTGTTTCTTGTTTTTCTAGGTGATTAAATTACCTCCATTAAAATGAATTCTAAAATTTAACTTATTGTCTTCATTTAAGTTAGCTTGATCAACATCTGAGAATATTTTCACATCGAAGTGCTTTGTTTGAAGGTACGGTAATCCTTTCCCTAGAGATCGTTTGATATACTTTAGAATGAATATAAGTTTTATAGTACTTATGTTTCGGAGTTTACATGTATTTGATCATAATTGCTACAATGATATAACAATCGGGTATATCAACTTTTTGACAAGCCTATGATAATACTGAGATGGATCATCAAAGGGTTCCTTTTTGTTAGAAATAGTTTTGAGTATCTATAAAGGCACTCGTTACAACATTCATGATTTACTTTTATAAAGGATTTTGTAATGTGTTTTTTTAATGTCCTGATAATAGAGATAATACAAATTTATGAAAGGAAAAAAAGATAAAGCCCTCTTTGAGATTTCTTTTATTTTTATTTTTATTTTGTTTTGTTTATATTTTGATTTTAATGCTTTTTGCTGATTACATCCTTCTCGTGGATAGAACAAGAGAGAACGCCCAGGAAAAACTTGAATTATGGAGGTCTACATTGGAGTCTAAAGGCCTTCATTTAAGTAGAATTAAAACTGAATACATGGAATGTAATTTTAGTAGTAATAGCTCTAGTGACAGAAGTGTGACTTTGGGTGATCAAATTATTAAAAGGTGTGAACGATTTAGATATCTTGGGTCCGTTGTCCAAAGCGGTGATATAGATTAGAATTCAAGTTGGTTGGTTGAAGTGGAGGAATGCTTCGGGCCTTTTGTGTGATAGAAAAGTACCGCTTAGACTGAAAGGAAAATTTTATAAGATGGTGGTGAGACCTGCAATGCTCTATGGCGTCGAATGTTGGCCTTTAAAAGAGAAGCATAATAATAAGTTAAGTGTTGCCGAGATGAGAATGATTAGGTGGATGAGTGGCTTTACACTTAGAAACAAAATGCAAAATGAACATATTCGTGATAGGGTTGGTGTAGCCCCTGTGAGAGACAAAATTAGAGAAAATCGTCTTAGATGGTTTGGTCACATTAAACGTCGACCATCTTATGATCCGATTAGGAGAGTAGATATTTTAGATTCAACTTGTGTTAAGAAAGGCAGAGGTAGACCTAGAAAGACTTGGGCTTATTGTATTAAAAATGATCTTAATTTACTAGAACTAAATGAAAGTATGACACTAAATAGGACTCAATGGAGAAAAAGGATTCATGTAGCCGACCCCACGTAGTGGGATTAAGGCTTTGTTGTTGTTGTTGTTGTTGTTTATATTTTGATTTGAATTAAAATATGTTTGATTGTGATAGTTGTTTTTAAAAATACTCAAAAGCATTTTTAGGTGTTTCGAGTGTCTTAAAAAACAAGGAGATTTGTTTTTAAAAAATAAAAAATAATAACATATGAAAATTATACTAATCGAACATGTTTTCGAGAGCAAAAGTAAAAACAAAAATATAAAATAAAATTGATGCCAATCAGGCTCTAAATGATTAGATGTTAATTTGAGAGCTTTGGAGCTTGTTTAGTTGAATATGGCATCAAGAATGTTGGTGTTGATTTTTACTCTGATCGGGGTCCTCATAAATTAAGCTTTAGAGGGCATAAAAGCTTCTGAGCAAAGAGGAATGTGTTGGATAGGCATTGAAGTGGATGGAGAAAAGGAGTGGTCTCATATAATTTTGACATTAGTGGAAATGTATACGCATTGGCAAGGGATCATATCATATTTATCATCTTTGAGTGTGCGAATGAATGAAAAATATACATCAAATGGATTGAAGAGAAAGTTCTTCGTGCGAGTGTAAGGCATGAATAAAAGTGAACGTAATCAAACATCCTCGTTGTAAAGACAATATGAAGTCTAGTTAGCTGAAAGTTTATTAAAGAGAGCAGAGTGGAAATGATTGATGATACAACAAGTCATCAAGATATTTCATTCCCCCAAAATCTATGAGGGACATCCATATGAAACATTAATATCTTAAAATATTAGATATGATGATTTTTGCATTTAACCACACCTTTCTATCGAGATGTCTAGGGACAAATTTGATAAATAATACCCTTTTCAAAGCGAATATTGTGAAATTCAGGCAACATAAATTCATGAGATCTAACAGTGTGTAATGTTTTGATTAAAGTGAAAAAGTTTGAACTTTTACTTCTTGATAAATAATACTTAGAAATGGTATTACACGCCTTTATCACAGCCATCATCAGCGTAGGTTTTATGATTATGATGATGATTGTAGAAAAATCAGATATGACTTTCTCGTTTAATTATTTTAATGATGCAAATGCATATTCGTGGTTGACAATGAAGAAAAGTATGATTTAGGAGATAATAATTTTTCTGACAATGGAAATGAGACATTTTTGTTTTATGATGATGATGATGATGATGATGATTTTTTAAATGATCAATTTAATTTCTTATACAAATTTTAAAATGAGTTTAAAAAAGAAGAAGAAGATATTTTGAATCTTAAGTGCTTGATGTAAACATCAGTTTTGTCATTTGTATTATCATGATACTTTATCTTTATTGTTAATAGTTTTTATATGTTCTATAGCCCCATATAGAGTTATAGACTTTTGTGCCATGGAACGCTATAGGTCGCTAGTCATCATTAATAAGTAGATTATACCTAAGCAAATATACATTTCCATGCACAAGTGAGCCGGTATATATGTAAAAATTGAAATTTTAGGCATTCGATACATAATTACATAGATATTCATTGGTATGCATTTACTTATCTAACACCTAAACTTTAATTATTGCATTTACATCACCCAAATCTCTCACATCACGTAAAAAAAATACCACCATTTTAACATTTAGAAAGTGAAATACACCATTTTCATACATGGGGAAGGTGGCATATGTAAAAATTGAAAAATGTATCTTAGATATGTAAATACAAAAAAATTGAGTGACATGCATGTAAATCTTCCACAAAAAAAAAAAAAAAATTTGTTTCCCAACTTTGGAACAGTGTCACATTGTTTGACATCCCCTTTCTCTCCCAGGTTTTGTATCACAATAATAGAGGAAGAACTCGCCAGAAGTGGCGTCTGACTCATCCTCTGTCCAGAAAAGCTCAGCAAGATAAGTAATATGTCTCTGTTTCTCCGCACAACTGTTGCCCCCGAAAAAAGGTCTAAATTTGTAAAGCTGTAAATTTTGCTTTTGCCTGCGCAAATAACTAAGTTATATAATCAATGAGAAGGTTCATTTACTTGTTACATTCTTCCTCTCAATTTTACATAGGCTTATTTCTTTGGACAGATTTTGATTTAGGAAATTCTTATTGGGGCATTTATACGCGACTAATTTTTGTGTATTTACATATCTAACCATAAACTTTCATATTTACATCCATAGCACAAAATGTTTAATCTCATCTTTATAGGTAATTATGTGGCATTATTGTGTGTATAATTTGTAGGAAAATTTACATACATATCACATAATTTTTATGTATTTACATATCTAACTCTTGAAGTTTTATATTTATTTGACTTTTAAAATTGTTAGTAATAGTAATATTTTATTGAAAATTTACATACATACCACTTAATTCTTACGTATTTACATATCGAACACAGTTCAATTTATTGTTAATTTATGATGCTTGGATTTTAGAGACTTTTTAAACGTGGAGGTGGATGATGTAAAACAATGTTGCTAAAAAATTTGTATGATTCGGTCAGTAAAGGAAAGGGAATTTAAATTTATAATTTTTTTTTTGTGTTAATGAAATTATATAAATTGCTTTGTTTTATTTTATTTAGGACATATCTATCAATACGAGGTTGTGTGAGAATAGTTTTTTAATTTTTAATTTTTTTTTTAAGTTTTTGAAGAAAAAAAATTCTATTGATTCATGTTTATAAGTGTGAGATAAATTATAACAAATTTTAATAATATTTTAATAATATTTTAATACTAATGTCAAATATTGATATGCCCTTTACATGCATTCCATAATTCTTATGTATTTAATATCATACACCTGAACTCTCATATTTATAATCAGAAAAGTTGAATCTTTAGTATTACATCAAACATCACATTATCATTAATTTTTTTAGAAACCTAATGCATCTTTTATATATAGGTCATGATACCCGAGGCGCGCTAGAAGATTTGTGATGATAGAGTGATTTATTAAAGTTTTAGCAATGCATGAAAAATCAATACACACTCAAATAATTAAAGAGAAGTAAGCAGGAGGAGACATCTAAACTGTTTACATGAAAATCCCTTAAAAGGAGAAAATACCACGGGGCATAGCCCAGTTGAAATAATGTACTATGAATGGTGAGTACATAGAATCACTCTTCTCCTAAATTACGGAAAATGAGTCTATAATGTTTTATATCCATAATTTGGTTGTAGTTATTGGCGACTATAGGCTGTAAGAGTCATAGTTGATTGTCACGGTGATAGTAATTCATTGTGGGTGTTGTAGGCGGTGGTTGTAGCACCAGTTTGTCGTACAAATCGTAATTGATAACTGTGACATTACTTGGCCAGGTGGGCTATAGATAGTTGCTTTAGGAGCGTCGATTGACCATGAGGCCATTGTAGGGAGTTGCGGGAGCTGTGGATCACATTGGTCGTGCAAGTCATAGTGGTGAGCCACGATGATATTCGTGGGCTGCAAGGATAGGAGTCAAGAGCTGCAAGATTTGTGAATCACTTGTTGTGAGAGAGGGGTATACTTTAATACATGCAAATAAATAATAGTAGATTATTTTATTTGCCCTAGATCCCGTGATCTTTTTCAAATCTCTAGTTTTTTTTATTTCACATAAAAAGATATTTTCTTCTTCTGCTACTTTTAATTTATGTGTGTGATTGATATTTGTGCGACATTCAAATATTAAATTATTATTCTACAGCTATAAATTTTTTGATGCACAACAATATATATAATACAAATGCATAATTAAATTATGCCAGCACAATATGGTGTCACATTTCCTTACTAAACAATAAATAATAACAAATACAATGCTAAGCTCTGACAAAAATATCAACAGCTAAATTACACGATAATATAACCCCAAAAAAAAAAAAAAAATCTTTTACGCTGCAGCAAAATACAGAAAATAATATTATTGCATTATTAAACAATTTAAACAAGCATGAAAAATAAATCATAAAAAAAAGAAACAATTAAATTAGAAAAAAGAATAATATTTTAAAATTGCTGATTTATTATTATTAGAATGAAAAATTACTTGTATTTTAGTAGTCCCAGCAACAGCGAAATTTACAACTGGAGAAACATGGAAACCACCTGCTCTGAACGGGAGCTCGGGCTTGACTATGGGCTCCGTGATGAGAGCGCATCCTAGCCGTTGGTACCTTATCTGACAACATTTTGGACGGCCTGATTTGTGGATTCGTTTGATGATCTTTATGATGATCAAAATTAACTTTGATTGATCCAATTCTCCCATCGCCTGTCAATCTGATCGAGCAATTATTCAGTTTAAAATATGAATTTAAATTTAGATTTATTTTTCGTATTGAACCAAAAATGATTCATAGAGAAGAAATTTTGAGTAGAAAATTTACATGCATACCACATAATTCTTATGTATTTATATATCAAATAAATATTTAATTAAAAATTTGTGATCTATAAGAGAGAGAGAGAGAGAGCGTACATTGGGAAAGCGAAGCTGGTGGTGCTCCCATCCGAATGTCTGGAAAGGCTTCGTCCCAACATCACCTTCTTCTCACTCTCCTTACCCTCCGCCGCCGCCCTCATCACCTCCTTCATCGCCTCCGCATTCGCGCTCGCCGCCGCTGCCTCATCTATTTCCACTACCAAATCCCCCGTCTCTCTTCTTCCCACCCCTCCCGCCCTCAAATCAGGCGGAATCCACGCCGACGGATACTCATTCATCCCACCCGCAAATCCCCTCAACTCTCCCGATCTATCATTCAAAAACATTTGATCCCTCGAGAAACTTGTGTTCCCCATGTGGATGCTGAACAGCGACTCATTCGATGCTACGCTCCATTCCATCGGAGTCATCGGCCCCCGCGCGAATATAGATGAAGGGATTCGGTTCGGATCTCTTGCCATTGTTTGAATCACCGGAGATCGCCTCTCGATTCCTGATGCGGGAGATTTCTCTCTGTTAGGGTTAGGGATTTTTTCGATGTTGTTTGTGTTTTGATTGACTGGTGTAGTGGATGATGGCGGTGGGTAGGTGAGCTCGGGTGGATTGATCTGGAAGAAATCGGAATCGGAACCGGAATCGGAGCTCGAGTAGGATGGGGAGCATGAGGACGATTCGTCGTCCTTTGCATTTTCGCTTTCTTGATATGAAGTTGGATTGTTCGTTGAGTAAACATGGCGGTCTTCTCCATTCGCTGTGGTTGGTTTGAGCTCCGGAGATGGCGGCGGCGGCGGCGGCGGTGGTTCGTTGAATTCATGATCGGAGGCACGCATCTCCGGCGTGGTGTTCATTTTGCTGGTAGGTTTCTCGAAATCTTTATCCTTCTTATTAGCACCGCTCTCTGTTTCTGAATTTAGATTGATCGTTGGGTGAAAATGGTAATCGTTGACAGTTGGTTTTAGCTCCGATAATGGCGGCGGCTGTAGCGGTGTATTGGGTTTATGAAGGGTGGCGCAGATCTCCGGCGTGGTGCTCATTTCACAGGTAAGTCCCTCAGAATTCTAGTAATTTGATTTCTTGTTGTTCTGTGGGGTCCTGCTATGATCAGATTGAGAAATTCACACGGTTTTTATATTATAATAAATCTGATTGAGAATATGAGCATATCTGATCTAAATTTAACAATGAGCTCCAATATTTTAAAAATTATTTGAAGATCAATATAATATCAAAATTAATTTAACTTATTCAACTCTAATTCAATTAAAAAAGGTTTTCAAGTTTATCGTGACTGAGAACATTGTCCAATTTTTCTCTAAATCAAATTTGATGAAGGTGAATTTTAAGTAATTAGATCTGAATCAAGATAAACATTCGTCTTAATATTAATCTAAACAACTAAAATTCATACCTATTGAATTTGAATCAAAATACTTTAACCCTAAGTTTTTGTCAATAATAAATAGAAAATGAAAGATTTGTTATTAAACTTTTTTATGCTGTGAATTAAGCCATCAGTCTATTTGTTTTAAACACAAAATTTCCATTAAAAAAATAAAATTAGCAAATCTTTAAGCAGGTGAGAAATCAATCAATAAATCGAGATAAATTTCTTAAAGCTTGCAATAATCATCAGATATCTCCAAACCTCAATTGCTATTGATTATCAAACTGAGCATCTCTCCAACTTCAATTCAACCTGGAACAAAATTTGAATTTAATAAGAGCACAAATAAATATTTTTTTTAATTCTTAAAAAGATAAATTAAAAAAAGATCAAATCGATGAAATATTACCGCCGCTAGAGGATCAGATGAAGAAAAAATAATTTGAAAACATCATCTCACGAAACCTGCTTAGTTAAATAAAAAGGAAAAAAAATAATCCCTTTTGTTTATTTTTGGCTCTGAAGAGAGAGGGAGAAATATGGGAGGGTAGACGAATGGAATCAGAGGGGAAAGGGAGAAAGAAGCGCCCCGCGGGATAATTCGGATGATTGCCACCTGGCAAAATGGACGGTTGGATTTGAACAATGTTCATGGCGCGGGGTTGGATTGGGACGGCGGAAAATCCGCGAATCCACCGATAAGCAGTAAAAGACGGGAAGATCGCCCGCGATTGCAAATGAGCGGTGAGGATCAAGTTTTGCTTATCGCTCTTAAAACATCATTAAATCAAGTAATATTTAATTATTGGTTTTTATTTTTAGGAAATGGTAATATAGGATTTATATTTATTGATATATAATCGATTATTAATTTAATATTTTTTTCATATAAAGTTACTAAATTTGTTTCTTTTGAATAATTGAATAAATTTGAATAAAAATCTTAGAAGATGATATCAAAATGAGTGCGTGATTCGGCGTTTTTTGTTATCCCTTTCAATCATATTCAAATCATATAATTTTTTCTGGGCATTTACATAAATGCCACACAATTCTTATATATTAACATATCTAACAACTGAATTTTCATATTTACATACATAAACACTTAAATCTTGAATAATACATAAGAAAATATTAATGCTCTGTAACTAACTTCTTAAAAGTGAAACAGATTCTTTCAGGCATAAATTTTTAATGCTAAGATGGCATAAATTTAAATATCAAACTTTAGATATCATTTATGTAAATGCGTAAGAATTTTGTGGTATGTTTGTAAATTTCCCTTTTCTATATATATAAAATAACTCGAATATTTAAGCTAAATAAACAGAATTTTATACAGTTTTTTAATCTCAAAATATTTTCAAGTATTTAGATAAAAAATTTCGTTTAATAAATATATAAATTTAATAGTCTGATACATTGAGATACGTTAAATGTACCAATAATATATGAAAGTCACTTCAAATAGCCTTAAGCCAACAATCTAATTATATATTTGGAAATTTTGTGAAAATCAGGCCATACATCAACTAGAGCAATGAGATATTAATATTATGTTTATCAATTCAATAGACAATTCTTTTGAATTTTTTTAAAAATTATTCTAAATCAAAATTTTGAAATATGATATTTTCTCTATCATTATTTTAACTTTTTAAGAGAAAAAAAAATTATGCATGGGAGGGATAAATGTAAAAAATTGAAGTTTTGATGTTAAATATGTAAATATATAAGAATTGAGTGAAATGTATGTAAATCATAAAAAAAAGTCAATAAATTTTTTAGAATAATTGAAAGATCAAATGGATTCCAAAGGTGATTATAATTTCACTTGACGGTTGACATTTATAGCAACTCAGATGTGATGCTTGCCAAGAGTATGAGCAAGTGCTACAGAAATTTAATTAGTTTCCTAATTAAGAATCTCACCTACCGTTCACCTACCACATTCTACCTATCGCTCTCATGGTTTCTATAAGTAGACTCTTTTGATTTAAAGGAGAAGGCTAAGCCAAGTCTTCTTGAGAGCTAAGAGAAAGAGAGGAAGAGAGAGAGAGAGGAAGGGAAAAGAAAATAGAGATATTCTTGTAAAAAGAATTCTTTCTTGTAAGTCGACGTGGTCGACGGTGTAATTCCTCGAAAAAATAAAATCCTCCGCAGCTCCGTGGATGTAGGCAATTTGCCGAACCATGTAAATTTGTCTGTCGCTCTGATGTTTTTCTATGTTAAATTTTTCTGATTCCATTTTTCACTTTATTGTCATCGTTTTTCACAACAATTAGTATCAAAATTTTTGTTCGGATCTAAGGAAGAACGATGGACAGAGACGAAGTGATGACATTGGAGATCGAGAAGTTCAATGCCACAGATTTTGCTTACTGGAGGATGCAGATAGAGGACTACCTCTACGGGAAGAAACTTTATCTTCCGTTATTGGGAAAGCGACCAGAAGAGATGGACGAGGCAGAATGGAATATGTTGGATCAACGTGTCATATGATTAACTCTATCGAGATCAGTTGCCCACAACGTCATCAATGAGATGACTACTGTAGATCTCATGGCGGCTTTATCAGGTATGTATGAAAAGTCATCGACGAATAACATGGTACATCTGATGAAAAAGTTATTCAACTTAAAGATAACAGAATGTGTGTTTGTTGCTTAACATCTAAATGATTTCAACACTATCACAAGTCAGTTGTCGTTTGTTGAAATTGATTTTGATGATGAGATACGTGCGCTGATATTGTTGGTTTCATTGCCAAATAGCTGAGAATATATGATGATGGCAGTCAACAGTTCTGCAGGTAAATCTAAGCTGAAATATGATGATTTTCGTAATTTGATTTTGTCGTGATTTGATTTTGACTGAAGAGGTGCACAGGAAAGATTCTGGCGAGACATCGGGTTCGAGTTTGACACTGATTGTTGCTTCGAGAGGGTGATGACAAGATAAGAACTCAAATAGAGGAAGATCAAAGTCAAGGTCTAGTCAGCAGACAACCTGCTGGAATTGTGGCAAAGCTGGTCACATAAAAATGAACTGCAGGAATCCTAAGAAGAAGGAGAATGATGACGTTAATGTTATAACTGAAGAAATACATGATGCACTATTTCTAGCAGTTCACAGTTCTGTTGATAACTAGATACTGGATTCAGGGGTTTCTTTTCATACATCTTCCCGTCGACACCGGGAGTTGATGTGAAACTATGTTGCAGGTAACTTTGGGAAAGTATATCTGGCTAATGGAAAAGCTTTGGACGTGGTGGGGATGGATGACGTTGAAATTGCACTCCCTAACAAGACCATATGGACTTTGCAAATGGTCAAACACGTTCCTGAGTTGAAGAAAAACCTCATCTCTATTGGGCAGCTCAATAATGGTGGTCATTCGGTAGTGTTCTTAGATAGCACCTGGAAGGTTACTAAAGGTGCATTAGTACTGGCTCGGGGTAAGAAAACTAACACACTATATATGACTACAGGTTTACTCAGGCGATAACACATGAGTCAGAGATGCATTATGGGGAAGTAGAAGAATGTCAGTTTCTTGAAAAGTGGCAGAGCGCTAAAGGCAAAAAAATCGGACATTGTACCGACAAATGGTGGAGAACCACAAAACTATGAAGAAATATTGTAAGATGAGAATTCAAGCAAGTGAGAGCTGACCAAGAAAGATGAAACGAATTCCTTACCAGGGAATCAAACTTTGGAGTTGACAAAACTTCTACCAAGGAAAAAGACATTGCACAATAAGTGGGTGTACCGGGTGAAGACTGCGCTTGGTAGCAGTAAGAGGTACAAGGCTGGACTTGTTGAAAAGGGTTTCAGCGGGGGCAGGATATTACTAATACAATGAAAGTTGTAAGCAGATACAAGAGTAACTCAGGAAAGTGCTTGGTGATACAAGACTACGTTGACAGTAATATGTCAATTGAGTGTGTTACGCGTAAGAAGCTGAAGTTGTGTTCAACTTCAACTGGTCTTCTGACATGAAAACATAGGTTTTGAATTGCAGAGGTGGAGGATATCATATTTGAGGAAAGAGGAAAATGTTGGTACAACTAATAGATGATGCAGTCAGTAGGTGATGCAGTCAGTGTCACAGTCTCCAAGTGGGAGAATTGTTGGGTAATGTGGAGACCGGGTCCACCGAAATTTAATTAGTTTCTTAATTAAGAATCTCACCTACCGCTCACATACTTTTCCACATATTGCTCACCTATCACATCTCATCTATCGCTCACCTACCTCTCACTTACCGCTCTTATGGTTTCTATAAATAATCTCTTTTGGCTTAAAGGAGAAGGCCAAACAAAGTCCTCTTGAGAGCTAAGAGAAAGAGAGGAAGAGAGAGAGAGGAATGGAGAGAAGAAAATATAGATTTTCTTGCAAACGTCGAGCATCTCGACAGTGTAATTCCTCAAAAAAATAAAATTCTCTGCAGCTCCGTGGATGCAGACAAATTTGTCGAATCACGTAAATCTGTGTCGCTCTGATGTTTTTCTGCGTGCAATTTTTCTCATTACATTTTTCACTTTATTGTCGTTATTTTTGATAACACAAATTATATATAGCAACTCGTGGTTTCTTACGCTTTAATACTAAAAAATGTTACAAAATATGAGAGGGATAGTGAATCCCCAACTAAAAATAAAAAATACATTATAAACCTAGGGGTTCCAAAATCCACAGTACAACGCCACGCAAAAAAGTAAGCAGTCAAAACGGTACATCAAACCCAAAATATAAATGACCCAACAAAAAGATAAGTTTCGAGCAGCTCCAACCAATTCTTCCTAAAATGATAAAAAATTAAGAGCGAGGTACGACAAGGAAACCTTCAAAACCGTTAAAGAAAATAGTGCCCTGCAGAAAAGTTAGTCCAAAGAGGCAAACAAGTAAAATAGGAGTCATCCTCGCGAGAAACGATCCAAAATGTCCCAAAGCTAGCAGCAAAAACATAGTTAAGAGCTGATCCAATAAAGTCCTCCTCTAATGCGTTAGAAAGGATAGTGCAATTAATAAATGTCCAAAAAATTCCACTGCAGTTATAGAAGATCAAACAAAACCAAAAGGATATAGAGAGGGATAAAGTGACCCTTATGCATTGAAAACATATCATAATCTCTACACCAGAAGGAAAGAAAGATTAGCAAAATGTGTAAGTGGTAGCAGCTTAAGGTTGAAGAATAATAGCAATAAACCAAACAGTAGATTCCGAAATCTCCAAAAACACCCTTGCATTTCAGCATAACCAAAATTATGCATCCAGCTAGTACCGAAATACATGTGCTTAAGAAACCCCAACAGCAACCAACACCGTAAAAGGGGTCTCGCAAAGCATAAGAGAAATTAAAATCTAATGTAAGGCGAAACAAGAGAGTAGCTCAATAAAAGGCACTTTAAATGAGGCATAGGTGTAACACCCACCAAAGGATTAGCATTACCCTTAGCAATCTTTGCGAGCCAATCCGCTGGAGAATTCCCTTCGCCAAAATAAGACGTGTGAAAATTAAAATTAAATTTTTCTATAACCTCCTTAATTTTGTTCCAAGTGTAAAGTACATTCCATTTGGGTAAAGAAAGGGCACCAAAATTCTTGAGCAGCGATAAAGAGTCAGTCTCAAGAATGTTATTGAAGAAATTGCATGAGATAGCAACCAGAAGAGAAAGCAGAAAAGCCCAACTTTCATCTTCTA